TAAATATCTTACGCGTTATTTATGTCACCTGCTTGAAGGCTCAGTAGAAACACGAACACATTAAACATAATGATTATTAATTATGTGCACTTCTTCAAATGAATTACCTTATTCAAACTCATTGTTTTTCTACTTTTCGTAATTTTCGTTAAAAATTTAACCAATTGATTTTGAAGATTCTCCGCTGGATTACACTTTTGAATTCAGTTAATCAACAAAATCCTTTAAATTGATAATCTTATCTCTTAATAAAAATCTTACTAGAAAATTTCCCTAACTTGAGTTAAAATTTTCCATAGTTAAAACTCTTCCCTCTAAATTCGCTCTAACCTATTCTGGGGGTTGATGACGCGCACACTAGGGAGTGCTCTAACAAATATCTAGACAATGTCTCAAATATAATCCACCCAAGAATTTAACTGCCTAAATGACAGTGAATAATCCACTAAACTACAAAGAATCCACAATATTCAAAAAAACGGCCCATGAAAATCGCGAATGAATCCGAAAAACTCATTAGCAGAAACGAAGTAGTTTTTTTTCGTTTAGTTTCGAATTAAAAAAGGACACCGGTAAACGAAAGAAAACGGGACTGATGCCGAGGAGGTCCGGGTATGCATAGTACCCAGAGGCGAGAAGAGAAGGTGGCGCAGCAACAAAGAGCTTTGGACTTCTGATCAGTGATTTCAGGGCCGGCCAGACACCTGATATTTATTCTTATTCTTTTTATTTTGTTTCTTTTTGCTCCTCTCAGCCTCTGCATCTTATCCCTGTTTTATTTTTCTTCTACTTCTTTTTATCCTATTTTGTGGTCAGCAGCTCAGAGAGGAAGAGAGAGAGAGAGAAAGAGAGTATCCAGACACGAGGAAGCCTTTGCGGGTGTAGAGACTTCAAATGTTTGACGTTGAATCATCTGCAAATTTTGACTTATTAACACGTCGACGAGTTTTGTTTTGTTATACTGAAATCTAATAATTGAATCGAGAGCTATAAGCATCATTTTGCAGTACTATTTCTAATTGGGCGTAGTAATTTATAAAAATGAGAGTTAGGAGCTTGACTTACTAGACAGCGTGGATTTCCCAAATAAAATCTCGTGGATTTGTCGGTGTAATTTAACAATGCGTTAAGCTGGAGAATGTTTAAAATTTCTGTGTTGATAGAATTTCCAGCTGGACTCTATTGTTTATTTAGATATTTGTTAAACAATGATGAGGGCAGGAAAAAAGTGGGAACGATAGTTTTATGAACGTAGCTCAGCGGCAAATAAAATAAAAAAGCCAGATACTTGTTAGTTATTATTTAAATGGGGTTGTTTGATCGACAACCGAAGATAAATAATTATCCCGAGTAATGTTATTTCGATGATTGTGATAAATAAGAATACTCGATGGATTAAATGCCTTTGGAGAGCGCAACAAGCTCTGGTAATTATATTTAAACCATCTAAGTTGAGTCTCGATCACTGATTTTAAATATTATTTAGCTTTTAATTATCACAGGCTCGATTATTTGTCCCGGTTATTTATCCGAGTTGTCTTAATTCATTTTTGCTTTAGCAGTCACCCCACCGGACGAATAAAATAAACTTTTAATAATACTTCTCAAATAATAAACGACTTTCCGGTTATTTGGAGCTGCAAACACCCGCGGTTGTCTTTTTAATTACCAGGGGTCATTTTTTTGGTCAACGTATCGCAGAAAAATAATCAGAGAACCACTTTTGGGCATTAATTACTAAAAATACCCCAGGGATTTATCAAATTACTGTTTTCCACTTATTTTTATTAAATTCATCGATAATTTATTAATCATTCCATTCAAATAATATATTCCCATCGTTATAACTAAACTATTTTATTTTACAGAAAAATACTATTATGGAAAATTACTATTATTTATAAAAAAGTAAACTAGAAACTTGTTTTTGATTAATTTTTCTGAATTTTTTGTGACTCCTCAAAAATAAATCGACATTTTTTAAATATATTAAATCCATAAATAATTAATCACTGCAAATTGCTATTGACACAAATATTCTCTTCAATATAATCCATTCATCTGACCAACCAAATACAAGATAAAAAATCGTTCATAAAAAAATCACCGGAAAATTAAAATTTGACCGTCCGCTTAAAACTTCCTTTGATAAAAAACTAACAAAATAATAAAAAATAAATAAATATAATCAAAAACGTTACCTTTGACATGGGCGTCTTCCATCATATCACTAGTGTTTCGCATTAACCTTTTATATCCTGGATTATATATAAATATATACAACCAATAGTACCTCAGGGATTTATTAAATTGCTGTTTTCCACTTATTTTTATTAAATTCATCAATAATTAATTTATTATTCCATTTAAATAATAAATTCACTTCCCAAATAAATTTCTACCTAGTCAACTATATTAAAAAATAAATCAAATTTTTTTTAATAACAACCTACTGAACAACATCAATAAATCTTAGAATTAAAAATAGCGGGAACAACTAAATATCTCATGCACTTCTTACCCAATAACATTTAAATAAGAAATACAAAAAAAAAAATAATAAGTAATAATAATAATGGTGAGAAAAAAAAAAGTAAATGTAAGTCCTTAGCCGTTTTTTAATGTATCTTAAATAGTGATCTTAACACCCTGTTAAAACGTGTGAGTTACTACCTGTAAATAATTTTGTTGAATACAAAATTAACTGCGTCCAAACAGTGGTATGGCAGTGAGTTCTGAGAACTGATTGAAAAAAGATGATAAATAAATCAATGAAAAAAAGTATTAAATAAAGTAGAATGCTCGGGAGTTAACGAACAATCCGAAAACAAAAAAAATAGTATTTATGTCCAAGGAATTCCAATAAATTGTTTTTAATAACGAATCTTGGAAATAACAAACTGTTGAGAAATCAAACTAACGAGTGAAGTTTTGGTTAGCTGTTTTTTTTTTTTTATTTTTTTATTTTTATTCTTATTCGAGCAAGTTTCACATCGCTGGACAGGAATTGCCGCGGTTTGTTTGAACAAACTTGTTTCGTTGTCTTATTTCTGAGGCCTCTGACTCAAGAAAAACTTAAAAATTGTCATTCCTCGGAGAAAATAATTCTTTCGTTTTTTCGGGCTATTGTTTTGCGGCTAATCGACGACTAGTTGATTGGATTCGTGATCGGGATGAAAATATTTTATAATTATACACGGAACAGTTTTTTAAAGAAATAATGGTACAAATTTTCGGAAGTCTTTTCAAACTACTGATAAAGATGTCCTAAATAATAAAATTACTGTAAAAATATATTGAAAGTGTGAAAGGATTGCAAAAAATTGCGGCATTTGAATGAACAAATTTATAAAAAGTACTTCGCACAGTAAAGGTTACTTTTTTTTATTTTTATTTATCATTTGTCGGATGTATTTTGGTGTCACCTGCATTTATTAATTGACGCCACGTTTTAAATATTTTATTCTTGTCCATATAAAATAATTTATTAATATCACCACGACATTTTAAATATTTTTTCTCACTCGATCGTCTCAAAGCAATTCGAGGAAATAATTTATTTTTAAAGTGACCCAGAGTTTTAAATGTTGAAGAAAGATTTTTATTTATCAATATTATCAAGCGACACCGGGTGTTATATTTTAAAGACGCGCGTGATTAATCTATGCGCCACTTCTGTATTTGATATTGCCAGCATAAAATAAATAAATAAAATCGGATTATTTTGTTTTTCCGGTAAATTCTTCGCAGATTATTTTTCAAATCAGTTGTCCTGTTAAAAGTGTATTGTTACAATTGAAAAAACGTCAGTCAATTAATTCAGTTGATTAGACTCGACAAAAACTCAACAAATGAATGGTATTTAATTTCATAGCTTTTATTTGTTATCAAGTGCATTTAAATGTTACTACTATCTACAATTATTGTAAAAGTAACAATTACATGGTATTTACGTGTATAAATTAAATAATTATTTTACATATTTACAGTGCGTCCTAAAAATTTTTCATTAGTCACTGTGCTAATAATTAATAATTAAATTTATTTAAAAGATTCTTAAATGTAAAATTAGAGTCCAGAATTTTAAAAGTAATCAATTGGTTGAACGCTTATTATTATGATTATAATTAGTACTCCGAGTACTTATTTCCGTGTAACTGTGAGACTAACAAGACCTGCTTGAATTCTTGATTTTTAAATACTAAGCAGGTTATTTATTATCAAATTAAATTAGCAAATGCAATACACATTCGGGTATTTGATCGATATTTAAAATTCTTAATTAAATAGCCTAATTGTAAACGTAAGAAAAATCAGTACATCGTGATAGTAATACGGCAATACGATTATTGGAAAATTTTATTTTGATCAAGAATTATAGAAATTTTTGAAAATTTTTATTCGATAATACTTTTTCTGAATTTGGAGAATCGATCTGAGTATTTTAGAATTTTTCCCGTGTAATTTGGAGGGAGTTCAGAAATCTGACTTGGCTGAGGGGGAAAGCGCTCGATTAGTAGCTCGGAGAATCTAGGATCGAGCCTTGGAAAAGGACCTTTTTTTTCTTTTTTATCTATTCGAGTAAATTCTTCATAGATCATTTTTCAAATAAATTGTTCTGTTAAGAGATCCGGAAACAACTTAATAAGTAATTATTCAATTTTGTAATATTTGCTTATTATTATTTAAAAGAGTGTTCAAATTAAAAGTACTAGTTTATAATAAGAGTGCAGAATTTAGAAAAATAAAAGCTTTTATTAATAAATTATAAATATACTAGAATTTTTAACGGCGAGCATTCGCGCGCCCCCTATCGAAATTCTCGAATGAATTTATCCTGTTCGATTTATATCGATATATTGATATGTTCACGTACCAGGAGATTGACCAATAGTAACTGAGGAGGGTTTATATTCTACCAATAAGGAATCAGGTCTCATTTTTTCGACTATTGACTAACTTCAAACTGTCATGTATTTTTATTGTAGGGATCAATGAACTTATATGATAGCCTTATACATGAGTGTGTTAGGATTAAATTCGAATTTTATCGCTCTATTCTTATAGCCATATTCAATGATGTACGACAAAGATTTTTCAAAACTTCCCGCGAGTAACACCTGTGAGTTCTTGATCACAAAATGGAGTTTATCTCTTGACTCAATCACATAATCGTCGCCTCCAAACTTAAACGTCATGTGCCCCTTGGTAGTCCGAGTAACTTCTTGAGGATGATCATCTTCTTCTTTTTTGAAAACTTGCCTCCAGTTGACAACAATAGAATCATTTTTACCAACTGTCACAAACCCATTATTACATTTTTGATTCGAATCCGAGCATCGGCAATCGAATTCCATGCCATGAGCGTCGTCGTCTTTTATCCTAATCTTCAGTATCTTGTCCGTTTTATTTAGCACTTCCATTTGCATCACTAACCCATTGTCAGTGCACACCCCAAACTCCGTTATTTTGCTCATGCCAAACAGACTTTTAAACTTGTACTCGTTCTTCCAGTACAACACTCGCCTTCCCTCGTCCATCAACGTCCCAACATGCGAGATCACATCCATGGGGTAGTTTGCCTTTTCTTCCTTTTGTGGCTTCATATATTCAAAGTCATCGCTGCCATCTTCATTAGAAATCACACCCGGCTGCATCTTTATCTTCTGCCAGGTCATGCTTTCATAACTCTGCTCGATACTTTTGAGGTACAGCTTCCTCATCTGAATCCAGCCTCCAGCCAGTTCAAAATCCACTTGATCGGCTTCGTACCCCGCTATGTACCAGCGTTGGACGCGAACCCAGAATGCAAAATCCTTAGATTTAAACACTCCCAACCCAGCGACTGGGAAGATCCCAATATCCAGCCCAGCCTTCCGTTGATAGTTTGACCAATTCGTCTTCAGAGTCTTGGTGATCCTGATATCAGACTGTCTTCCAAAAAGGCCAAGGGGGATGATATCCATCGAAGGGTGAAGAATCTTGTCTAATATCTTCTGGGTGACATCATCGATGTCCGCTTCGAAACCTAAAGCTCTGAATACTGAAGCGTAGAACGTTCCGGATTCGACCAGGGGCCAGTAGGTTGCTACACCATTGAAGATACAGGACTTTTCTATCCAGATTCCATCCAGATTTATTGCATCAATATTCTTCAGGAATTCGACCTTCATAATTTGCTTTAATGTTCCTATGTGATTCGGTTGTGTCTCCTTCTCATACGTCTTTGTTTCCTTGAGAAAATTGGTGATCAGTCGAGGGATAGCTATCCACGCATTTTGGATGCCCATCAGGTGATCCCACTCAAGCGATTTCCACAAAAAGGGAGTAATCTGGTAGATTCTCTGATGGCAAATCGTCTTGATAGATTCGTTCGTGCTTAGTATCTCGAACATGGCCAGCATGCGGGTTAACCTCACGCAGAAGAAGTAGTACTTCTGGTTCCATTTTGTTGGGAGATGGACTAATTCATTTCCCTGCGGCAACTGCTCGTTAATCTTAGAAATCAGGTGCTCTACGATTGGCAGATAGGTTTGCTTGCTGTCGTTAGCATACTGATGCAAAAGAGCGATTCCGAAGGACGTGATCTTGTCCATGTTTGGATGGTCTTCTAGAGTGAAGGTGTCTTGGTAAACTTGATCCATGTTTTTGATATATTGGTCTGCTATGGCCTGGTATTCAGACGGCATGTTGTAGATGTTCTTCAAGGAAAGTTGAAGGCGTGAAAGAACTGTCTCTTTTGGCTCCACACTGTGTTGGACTTCCGTTAAAACTTGAGATTCAGCTTGGGGTGCATCACCTTGCATTTCGGCCAGCAGCTGGTTCTCTAAATTATCCGAATTTGATAGTTTTGATATGGGTTTTTGAATGGTTAATTGAGGACCGGATGAATGTTGGGTAAGTGGTTGAGGCTCCGTTGATGTCCTGGCTTCTGGGGTTGGCAATTGTTCTTGTTCTTTCGGCACTGGCTTCGAATCCTCGGTTAATGCTGGTACAATTACCTGTACAGTAACTAAAGTACCAACAACAAAAACTATTATAATTGATATAATAATAAAAATCATTATTAATTTTGTCTTAGATTATAAAATTTAAATATTTGTCTTCTATAATAAGCAAAAAATTTAGCACTTATTCATTTTACTGGATTAAATTTTTAATATCAAACATTTTGACTGGGAAAAGAGATACGGAAAAATTAATAGAAATATTATCAATAGAGTTAAACTTTCTAAAAAAAATATTCTATCAATTTTTTCGGATTTCTAAAGTTTTTGAGGTTTAGTCATTGACGCAGATAATCTGCGCAGCTTTTCTAGCTCGATCTAGCGTTGCCAATTGTAAATCTGTCATCATTGGCGCCCAGTTATTGGTAAAATAGAATATTTTCTTGAATAAATCTGCCTTTTGGCAAATTGTGAGAAATTAAGATAATTTTTTTAAAAATGAATTTTTCAACTAAATTTATTTTTTAATCTGCATTTGCCCTATAAGATGTTGTGAAATGGAAATTGATATTTTTTCTTTGAATTATAATTAATTATTTTCGGCTGGCAGAAAAATTTTCTGTCCTTTGAGCAGCCATGAATAATTCAGTTTTTAATTGGTTCTTTTTTTATGATTCATACATCAAAACGATAGAGGGCGTTCGATTCGTATAAAAACATACCATCCGCGGGAAAATTTGAACAAGCTTTAAAATTGAATCGTAAATAAAATCATTTTTTAGTGCAAAGTAAATTATTGTTTTTTTTTTTTTTTTTCTATCAACGTTTGATATAAAATTATTAATAAATTAAAAATATTATTAAAGTTGCTATTTAAAACTTATTTAAGATTAAAACTTTGATCAATTTAAGCAATATCCATTTGAATTAATTAAACTATTTTAAATTTGCATTTGCTTGCAATAATAAATTATATAAATTAAAAATAATATATGATATTTCTTAACCATTTTGCCCGCGTGCCTTTATATGTACATACGAGTCTCGATGACGTAATCCAACCGGTCGTCGAACTGGAACCACGATTGGAAGTCCCGGTATTCGAACCGGCTCCTTTTCATTCATAAAAAAAAAGTTCCATGATAATAAAAATAATAACAACAATAATAATAATTATTATTATCATCATTCAAAAATCATGTGTATCAAATTGCATAAGCCTTTCACTCGGAGCCAGAAATAAAAAAAAAAATTTTTTTTGCGCAGAAATGGGATCGAACTCGAGTATCAGGGGGATAGTAACCATCGTCCTATTGAATTTGACATTATTGCAAGCTCACCGGGAACATAAGGTCCACAACATAGTCCTGTATCCGGACAAGCACAGTTGGTGCAAAACAACTCCGATAAAGCAGGTAGTGACTTGGCCGCAGTGTTCGTCCCAAGAATTGGACAACAATGTCTGTGTTGGAGCCTGCTTTTCATACATGGTTCCTCACAGTGAACCCTCCGCCCCCGGGGACCTGATAAGGCCCTACTGCGATTCATGTCAGCCACTTGACAGCGTTTGGCATACGGTAAGTTTTAAGAATTCATACACAGAGAAATTTTATTCTAAAATTATCGGAAAAATTACAGGCATTACTTAATATCTAATTTAGTTAAAATTCTTTTAATAATTATTCACAAATACAATGGAAAAAAAAGTATAGAAAATTATCATTTATTTTTACTGTATTGTGTTGGTAAAAAAAAAAGAAGAGGAAATTTAATAAGATAAATAATTAATTTTTAATATTTTAATATAAAAAATTACAGTAAAATGAAATTTTTTTAAATTTACTGGAGTTTTAAGTAAAAATAAATCTAAGCAACGTTATTATCTACTGATTATAAGACGGCGCTGCAATCGCTGAAGACTTATTATCTGTATAAAAAATTACACATTTTCGTGATCAGTTTTTGCTAAATTACAGTTAATTTTAAAAAACTTTAAACAATTATCATCTTAATAAAGTTTTATGTATTTATTTATTTAACTATATGCTAAAGCAAAAGCCAAACGGCAAAAATATATAACAATTTTATAATCACATACTGTGATATATATTTATAAGAAGTTTGAGTTAGTAAATTTGAAAAAATAAAAATCAGTAAAACAAATTCATTTCATTATTTAAAATTTTAATTTTCATACAAAGAAAATATTTAGTACTTTTGACATCATTTAAGTCAAATTTATATAATTTGATACGGATTTCAATAATTAATAATTTATTTATTTATGCAAGCTTATTATCAATTGTTAATTTCACGATTCAAGAAAAACTTTTGCCATAAACGATTAGTAGTCAAACAGTAAACATTATTAGTATAGAAAAATTGTACTTTAATGACATTTGTACACTGATAAAAAAATCACTTGATTAAAAAAAAACTTTTTCTTCAAAATGTCATTCTTGTTGTAAATAATTCAATTCTCTTGACTTAAGAAATCGACTCTCGAATCAAGAAACTTGGTTGTTTTAAAATAAGATAATATACTACTTCGCCCAAGAATTTCTTTCTCTTGAATTAAGATAGACAGTAGCATTGGTTCAAGATATTACTGACTTGTTCCAAGTATATGGCGCGACTCTTGAATTAAGATATTATTTTACTTGTTTTAAGCTTATAAATTTTTGTATTTTTGCTATTCTCTGATGTATTAATAAATATTTTTCGGCGAATAGAGAAATACAAATTTTTTTTCTAACTTAAACTTATAGCATTATAAATAAAAAAATTTGTTCTTAAATCAACAATCAATTATTCTTTAAATGGAATAAAATTATTCTTTATTGAAGAGAATCGTTTTTGAATAAAGAATTCACTTGTATCGATCGAAGATAATATAGTCTTGAACCAAGTAAAAATATTATCCATCGGAGTGATTAGATCTCTCACTCCAAGAAACATGAATTCAATACAAGAATTTCTTGAAGTAAGACAACTAGTTCTCTTCAAAATAATTTTCTTAGAGCAAGAATATTTTTCTATTATTCTATATAAATATTTAAAGGCTTAATGACTTTAAGAAATTAATTTAATCAAAGAATTAATTAAATATTTAATCTTACTCAATCTAAATCTTCGTTTTACAGGTATAAAACCTATAAAATTTACAATAATAATAATCTTTTGATAATTGTACGTCCTAAAATATGTGAATGTGTGCGGGAAGCTGCAAGAATTCAGTTTTTTTTTTATTTTACTGAAGACTCCGGTAAATTTTTCTTTGATAAAACCTTAAAAAGTAATGCTGTTACTAATAAAATGGTAAAGTAGAACCCTAGATTACTGTCCGGTAATTTTTTCCACGAATTCAACAGTAAATTTTAGAGAAAATTTATTGTCAACTTTTATCTAAAAATAACTTGTCTAATTTTTTCCAGGTGACCTTGAACTGCAAAGACGAAGACAACAACCCAACGACGATGCTAAAGAAGGTCCAAATAATAACAAACTGCTCGTGCAGTTCTTGCATGGAAACATCGAAGATAAAGCCTGACTATAACACTCTCCTTCATTCGCTAGCTGATGATACCATCGAGGAAAACGTGAACCACATCCATGAGACCCCGGACCTGCTCCTGAACCCGAACCTCAACTCTTCGAGGAACGTCACCAAGGACGGAGTCGAAGCCAATGAGAGGTTTATGCAGTACTTCAAGCTGCTGAAGGACTCTGAGAAGCTGGACGAGGCGAACGCCAAAGAGCTGCTCACAAAGCTCGAGGACAACATGGACCTGGAGAACCTGCGCGAGCTCCTGAAAAAGTACAGCCTGGAGGAGCACCACAAGCATCACCACCACAAGATCGTCGTTGAAGAGAACCACGAGGAAGAAACGGGTCCTGCTGGTGATTCGGGTCCAGAAGCTCATCGGGAGGCTGACCCAGATCCGGAGATCGAAAGCGAAAACCATCATCATAGTAGTCATCATTTAGGGCCGCATCACTCAATTGTTCTCGAGTCAGATGTTAAAGAGAAAATTGACGTAGAACCTCATTACTTGCATCCCGCGGTTGCGGGCCAGGAGATTAGTTATCATGACAATGTTTTAGTGGACAAGACTAAGGAAAAGAAAGATTTCTAGGGTTAGATAGGGGAGAAGTTGATTTTTTAGGGGATAGTACAAAAGAATTGGTTGAGTGTGGTGGAAATTAGGTTGGAGAGGAGAAAGAGATGAGTTTTCTCCAAGAAGTTTGCTAGTGGATGGATGAAGACAAAATTTATTGAACGACCCGTGAAAAAATTTTTTGAGATGGTCTGATATGTTCATATATGATTTTTTATAAGTTCTTTATAATCAGAAGATATGTGATTCAAAATGTCAATATCTGGCATTATATAATCTAAAATAGTAATATCTGACCTAATATGGTCTAAGATGTCCATATATAATTTTTTATGTATCTTATAACATAATGTGGAAATTGACTACACATCAAACCACACTGATAAAAAAAATGAATTGATTCAAGAAAAACTTTTCCTTCAAAATGTTATTCTTGTTTTAAGTAATTCAATTCTCTTAACTTAAGAAATTGATTCTCGAATCAAAAAAACTTGGTAGTTTTAGAATAAGATAATATACAACTTCGCCCAAGAATTTCTTTCTCTTGGATTAAGATAGACGGTAACATTGGTTCAAGATATTACCGACTTGTCCCAAGTATGGCGCGACTCTTGAATTAAGATATTATTTTACTTGTTTTAAGCTTATAAATTTTTTTATTTTTGCTATTCTCTGTATTAACAAATATTTTTCGGCGAATAGAAAAATACAAATTTTTTACTTCAAAGTTTTTGTCTGACTTCAACTTATAACATTATAAATATAAAAGTTTGTTCTTGAATCAGCAATCAATAATTCTTTAAATGTAATAAAATTATTCTTTGTTGAAGAGAATCGTTTTTGAATAAAGAATTCACTTGTATCGATCGAAAATAATATAGTCTTGAACCAAGTAAAAATACTATCGATCGGAGTGATATTAGATCTCTTACTCCAAGAAACATGAAATCAAGACAAGAATTTCTTTAAATAAGACAACTAGTTCTCTTCAAAATAATTTTCTTGGAGCAAGAATATTTTTCTTTAATGAAGAGATTTTTTTTATCCGTGAAGATATGGGCACATCAGATCATATCACGACATATTGGGCTTAACATGGTTTGATATGTTCATATATATTTTTTTGATCTGTCTTGAATAGCCTGTTATGAAAATTAGCTATACTTAGCTTCATATAACCTGATATGGATTTATATGTTTATATCTGGCCAATATGGTCCGATATGACCAGATCTAATTTATTATTCACCCTAAAATGGCTTGATGTGAAAATTGGGCAAATCTGACCATATCTGACTTCATACTTATTGATAAAAGTTGACATGCTTGTATCTAATCTGATATTGTCTAAAGTATCTATATCTAATTTTTAACATGTCTTGACATGACCTTACGTGAAAATTGAATGTATTGGACAATATATGGACATACTAAACCAGATATTGATAAATGAATACAAAAACTACCAATAGATGGCGCATGATCACTGAATTGTCTCCTTACAAGAGGTTTAAGTGTAAGCTAATAAGTCTTAAAATAAAAATCACTTTTTTGACCCTTCTACGCAGCTTATTCCTTATTGGTTTGAAATTTAATTAACTAATAAACCAACATTTGTAAAAAATATGTAAATATCAAAAATATTGAACACATCAACCCATTTCGAAAATATTTTGACGGGAAAGTTAAGAATTTCTCGGATTTAAAATGTTGAATTAAGAAAAAAAATTATTTAACTAAAATATTATATAATATTTATTGCATTAATTTTTTTTTCTGCTTTATAATTAAAAATTGTATAAGTATATTTTTATCAATAAAATGATGAAATTTTTCCTTACTCGCACGCTTAATTTCTATAAAAAAAAAACACCGAGAGAAATTTTGAGTCACTCTAATCTGTTTAGTAGTTAATGACGCTTTCGCCAGAAGGCGCTCTTTCCGATGTTTAGACCGCTTTCGATTATCCAGAAATTTAAATTGAAACAAAATGATGTCAAAAAAAAGATAATTATCAATTGTAATTAAAAAAAAATTTTTTTTGAAGAACTAGATAACTTCATTTTTAAAAATTATTAATCTTGTCTTTAATTTTATCATTATCTCAATAATATAATTAATTATTTATTATCTCCGCATACTTATTACACCCTTTTTTTACTTTCATAAATTTTTTTTCTTAAAAAAAAAAAAAAATGTTAATACGCAGTTCTACTAACTTTCACTCAAGTAACTGGATTTTGCCTCTACTTAGTATAAGTGTTTATAGATTTTTTTTCGATGGTTTTTAAAAAAAAATCTAATGAAAATTAAAAAAAAATTTTAAATAAGATAAGCCAAGTATAATCTGATAAGACAAAGTCATGAAAAATAATTTCAATAATGTATATTATATATACCTATACATATATTTTGTAATACTAAATTTTATATGTGTGTAAAATATAAGTAAATACTTCCATTAAGTAGAAAGATAGAGGTTTTGTGAGTATACATTATATATTATATTTATAAGGGGGGCCTCTGCTTAGTTGAATAAAAGTCTAATCAGTTGCGTGCTGACACTTGATGAACTATCGTGTGGCACGTTAAACACTTAATTTTTAACATGTGATTTCCATAATGGCGAACGGATTTTCGGCAATTATTTAATATACAATATGCCGATGCCGTACCGCCGGGAATGGAAGTAAATATATTTTCTTTTTATTTATTGAGTGGTAAATTAATTGCTGGTGTTAAATTGGTTAACAAGTTGTTTGCTGTAATGAATTTCTGGTGACAAAAGAATTTTTAGACTGTGATATACCAATTGTTGACTGAATTTCAGCTCTTTAATTGTTTTTTTAACTTACGATATGGATATTATGGACGGTAAGACTTTATTAGACCCTAGTAAGACTTTTATTATTTTTCTTTGTTTTAAAGTTTTTATTGTTGCAACATCCGAGATAATTTCGTGAATTTAATGTCTCAATTAAGAAGCAATAATTCAAATAATTTTTTTATTTAAATTGTTGCGTATGCGTCCTATGTATTAAAATTTTTGTACAAAATTCGTGATTTTTTTTTCTCAATTATAAAATATATTTTTTTTAATTTTATTCCAAATTTCAAAATTTTCGAGTAAATGTTCAAAATTTTTGTAATAGTTACAAAATAACGTGTCTTATTATTTATTTAAATTATTTAATTATTTTACCGCGTTATTAATGAAAACTTTTTGGTAAAAATTTTCCTTAAAAAATTTGTATTCGAATTATTGAATTTAAAATTTTTGTCAATTATTTAATCTGAACTTTTGTTAACATTTTTATCAAATAATTTATCTCACAGTTTTTGAGCTCGCAATTATAAAAATTGTCGAAAATTTTGTCAAATTTAAAATTCAAATTTTTTCTAATTATTTTAAAATTAAAAATCTTCAAATTTTACAATCATAATTTATAAATTCCTGATAATTTTATAGAATTTATTAATAAAATAATTGTTTATTTTACTTACGATGATAATCATATTTATTGTGTAAAGTACATAAATATATTGTACATTGTGGATTAATATGTGTTGAAGATAGTCGTCTATATATTCCTATGAACATATATTGTAATAGACACTTTGGAGTTAATTAAGTTCAATAAATTCTCGGCTCATTAAAGAATAATAGATAAGATAGTCTCGTAGGAAAATAATAAAAATTAGTAGAATCATTTTAACAATGTATGTAGTAAAAAACTAAGCGGGTAATAAAGAATTATTTTGCAACACTCAACTATAGTGCTCATTAAAAATAAGCCATTATTTATTGGTTTAAGATAGATGATTTAATTTGCATAATGTCAATATTGGATTAATTTTTTACAATTTTAAGTTTAAAAATTACATTTTTTTGCTACAAAGAAAATTTTTATAAAATATTACAAATTATATGATAATAATAAAAGTTTGAGAATTTAGATAAAAAAAATTTATCACTGCTAAGTAATCATTACTTTTTTTAATGATAACTTTTTGGAGGGAGAAATTTATCCATTCTAATTGGAGGTTGCCAATGGACAGTAAAGCGATGAGTAATTTGTTTGGTAAATTTGGTAAGACGTCATGAATTTAAGTGAAACGGAGAACTGAACAGATGATTTTAAATTCAAATGAGTTGGTCGTAAACAGACGGGTTGAGTAACTAATTGAGTGTGGTAATTTATAAAATTGGAAGGTGGGAACTTGACTAACTAGACAGCGTCGATTTCCCAAATAAAATCTCGTGGATTTGTCGGTGTAATTTAGTAACACGTTGAACTGGAGAATTTTTGAAATTTCTGTGTTGATAGAATTTCCAGCTAGACTCTAATGTTTATTTATTTGTTAAACAATGTTGAGGGCAGGAGAAAAGTGGGAACGATAGTTTTATGAACGTAGCTCAGCGGTAAATAAAATAAAAAAGGCAGATACTTGTTAGTTATTATTTAAATGGGGTTGTTTGATCGACAACCGAAGATAAATAATTACCCGGGTCAAAAAATTTAATTTGTTTTATGAATAATGAAAATTTTTAATATTTTTCATTTAATTTAATTTTATTATGTGGATCTATTTTATATAAGAATTTAATCTGTTTTTGCCCGTACTATTCCCAATTCAGACCAACTTCAGATCATTTTTAATGTTGTAATAAAATTTTTTTCTATTGTTTCAAGACCAAAATCAGACTTTGTTTGTCACAATCATTTAGCTGGTTTTGATCGCATCAAGGTCAAAAACAGACCAAAACGTTCCATAATTTTTAGTCGGTTTTTCATCGCCTGTAGATCAAAAACCGACCTTTTACGGATTTGATAATAATAATAATATTAATAATAATAATAATAAAAATAATAGTAATATATTTATTTATTATTATTTTATTCATGTCCTCGAAGATCCTCTACCGGGCACGGCTTTTCATTCTCTGAAACTGAAATAGTGACCATTCACTATTTCGTAGTGCAATGTACACCAAACGAATTCTTTGCACTACCAAA